ATGAGGCTGTCTCAATTTTTTGTTCTGTGCCAATTTCTAACCTTTTATTTTATTTTTTTTAAAGATTTATTTTAGAGACAGTACAAACAAGAGCAGGGGAATGTGTAGGGAGAGCGGGATAGAGAATCTTTTTTTTTTAAGATTTTATTTATTCATGAGAGACACACAGAGAGGCAGAGACACAGGCAGAGGGAGAAGCAGGCTCCATGCAGGGAGCCTGATATGGGACTTGATCCTGGGACTCCAGGATCACGCCCTGGGTTGAAGGCAGGCACTCAACTGCTGAGCCACCCAGGCATCCCGGAGAGAGAGAATCTTAAACTCCATGTTCAGCGTGGAGCTGAGGCAGGCTGGATCTCATGACCTTGAGATCCTGACCTGAGTCGAAACCAAAAGTGGGACATTTAACCAAATGAGACACCCAGACATCCCTATAACCTTTTATTGTTTTAATACAGGAATATGGATTAAATGGGTCTCAGGATTTCAAAGACCTCTTAAGAAAGTATCTTCTAGTGAAGGCGGCTTTTCTTGCAGTCTAAGATTTCCCTTTAGCTATTTTTACTGTGTATATGAAGTGAGCTTTCTTCTCGGCTCACAAACAGAAGATACCTGTTAAGTGCACCCATGTTTTGTGGGAAACTGGGTACTTGAATCAGGGAAGTATGTTATGCTATTTATTATTTATTTTAAATTGAGTAGTAGCTGGGAAGAAACTTAATGACCTGGTAATGCTTATAATTAGCTTTCATTCCAAAAAACAAAAATGCCAAAAAGTAAAAACTAGTAACTTACCAAGTTTGGTGGTAGTAATTGGAAAAACATTGGTTGCTTCATGTGCAGATAGTGCCAAAGGAATTTTCACATTAAAAGTGAGTAAACACTATTTTGTCCTTTTACCTGATAGTCCTACATAGAGAAGCATATTGGAACACCTATTACTGTGGAGATTGTGACAAATAGTGTACTGATGGTTTTGCAGCTCTGTATTTTGCAGGCAGCTTTACCAGTACAGTGTTTTGTTTCAGAGGTGTGGCAACAATTCTGCTCAGAGTCTTGAAGGGGAAAAAAAAGTTGTGCTGTATTGTAATTCTTTTATTTTCTTTCATCCTTAAGAAAATTGCTACTGTCCTTCAGACGAGACCTTGACATATCATTTAAGATGATGTTTTTTTGGATTGCAGGTACAGAAAATAATGTTTAATCAACTTAGTGGCTTCTGACAAATAAAGGGTGCACATTTTATCATTTATGTTGCAAAGCAAAGTCTGGGAATAGAAACCTCTTAACACTTTGATATAATCATCCTTCTGTAAATATTTGAAAACAAAACAACTAATCCAAGATTAGCATGCATTCTCCTTTTGGAGTGGAAATTCTGTAATCAAATCTTCCCTCCTTTTTATGGAGGCAGGAGAGGGTGGTTTAATAAATTATAACACTACATCTCTTTATCCAGATTAGTAGAATACTTTTCAACAATATTTGAGTTATTTGACTAGTTCATAGTTGTATTAGCTTTAAGAACGAATAGGAAATGGTCTTTGAATCTACTAAAACTAGAATAAAAAATAAAAACTAGAGCACTGACAGGAAAATGGGGGCTCAATTTTGAGGAAAGTAAGATCACTTAGTAACCTTAGTTGACAAAGTGTGGTTTCTGAAAAATACTTATTTTTTCAGCTTTACCTTGAATATGAAGCAAAACTCTGAGGATAATGGAAAAGTGACCTTTGTCCTTTGTTCACTTTATTTCATCTGTCATTTCCTAATATAGTTGGAAAATAAACCATATTCAAAAGTAAAGAATATACAGTCTTCTGTATACTTGATGGTGCATTTATCCCAGTAGACAGAAAATCTTACATTCAGCAATTTATTGGTGTATATTCTACTTATCCTTTTGGGGAAAAGAAATATGTCATTCTTGCTGATTCAGACAGGTACCATGTGTCATGTTGGTGAGGACTGAGGCAGAGGATGGTGGTAAGTTTTTTGGCTTCCGTACATCTGTTTTTTACCCAAGAGCCTCCATCATTTTGTTTTGCAGTTTTGCGAATTCTTGGGACATCAGAGAACTGTAGCAGAATATTATTATAAAATCACATATCAATGCTAAATATTGGTATGTAGGACTTTAGAATTCTTTTTAATTAGATGACCACCTTTGACCCTACAAGGAAAAAAACTCTGAAGTATTCCAGAGGTAACCAATTGCCGTATAAGGTATATTTCACTTTCTAAAAATAATATGCTCCTAGAAGCTTTTTCTAAATAAATTTTATCTGATTTATATTCCTTTTAAACAACATGCATAAAATGAGAAAAAGATTCTTTGTGGAAAAAGGAAATAGGCTGTAAGGAAAAAAATTACTATAGAAATGCAGAAAAATATCATATAGCCAGATTATATTTTTCTAATTGGAAGATTATATTTTTGTGATAAAATAATCTGAAGTTCTGACACCTTATTTCACAAACAACAGAAAATTTACTGGTCATGATATGGAGTGTGTGTGTGTGTGTTTGTGTACTTTAATACACTTGTTTCACGAGAAAGGTCTATTTTCTCTTACTTTTATACAGATTAACTCAGTGTGGGTGGATAAAAGAGGAGTCCCTGTCTGATGATAGTGGACATTATGTAATAAGCAGCAGCATTTTCTATATATTAATATATAAATTGTTACTTTAAGCATTTTATTTTTAATGTTTTCTGATTTTGGAGATGGTTTTTTTTGTTTTTTTGTTTTTTTTTTTTATTTTTTTTATTTACGATAGTCATACAGAGAGAGAGAGAGAGGCAGAGACACAGGCAGAGGGAGAAGCAGGCTCCATGCACCGGGAGCCCGACGTGGGATTCGATCCCAGGTCTCCAGGATCGCGCCCTAGGCCAAAGGCAGGCGCCAAACCGCTGCGCCACCCAGGGATCCCTGGAGATGGTTTTAGATGGTCATTCCAGAGAATGAAAGCATGGATGATGCATATGAAACACTAGTTATTAAAGAGAAGGTAGTGTACATTTATGTGACATAAATCTGCTTTCAGATTTTGCCTTTGAGTCCTAATCTGATTCCTGGCTTGCACATACCTTTCCAAAGTATTTTTTGAATTAAGATACTGTGTACAAAATGAAGTTAGGAAATGTCTTTTCTGATCATCTGGAAGATTTATCAGGTTTCTAGTAGTCTACTTAGTACTTATTGAATCCATGTTATTCCTGCATAAATATTTTAAAGACCAGGGAGTTAAGAATAATTACTTCCTATTTAAAAAGAGGAGGCAAGGGTGCCTGGGTGGCACAGCTGTTTAAGCATCTGACTCTTGGTTTCGGCTTAGGTTGTAACCTCAGGGTGGTGAGATTGAGCCCCAAGTGAGCTCCTACTCAGTGCGCTGTCTGCCTGAGATTCTCTTCCTCTCCCTCTGACCCACCAGCTTGTGCTTTCACTCTCTAAAATAAATCTTTAAAAAAAATTTAAAAAGAGAAGGCATTCATTTTCTTTAAACATTAATAGTAATGGAGATACAGCAAAGGAGAAGTTCCTTTTAGTTTGTTGACTTATATGTCTATGTACTTAGATCTGTACATACACATAAATATTAATATAATTTTTCAGATAATGGAAATCCGTGAATTTTAAAGCATTAAGACCACTTGAGAATGAAAAGTGGTCTAAAAATAATTATTGGCAAAGGGATATCACTGACTACAGGCATCTAGTAAATGGAATAGTTTAATGAGTACTACAAATATAAGAGGATTATCCAAAGTCCATTTCAAACCTTGAAAGTAAAAATAATTTATTTTGACATTTTTGTGATTTGATTTTTCTATAAATGAGAAAAACTGTAAGAAATAATTAAGTAACTTGATATTTATTCCAACTTTTGTCCCAGATTATTTTAGGCTTGCCTGGAAAGGGGGATATATTTTGGAAAGAGTATGAAAAAACTCTGCTGTAGACAACACAATATACCTTATTTTCTGACACTATTATTAAGACTTGATAGTTTAAAACACTTGATCCACTATTTTCTAAATCAGTCATGAAAACCTCTTCATCCATAATTCATCTGAGTTCTTAGTGGCAAAAACTAAAAGACATCTGATCTTTTATTTGTGCTATAGCTGACTCAGTTAAGGGCACTCATGTGCAAGCTTTTGGGCTGTTTATCCTTTCTATGACTAGGTAGAACATTCATGAGAAATAGCAGTTTGTAATGTGAGACAGGGTAGGAAGCAGAGAAGAGTATTCAGAATTTATTATTTTTTAAAGAAAATACTTAAAATTTTGATTTCTCTTTTTAATTTCAAGCATTTTAATTTTAGCTTTTACCCCTTTTTCATAAATAATGTTTTACGTGTAGCATTACAGCTGCACTGCATTCCATATTCCTGATCCTAGATTTTAAAAATCCTTTAGATTTATATGTTTCTTTCTAGTCTTCATACTCACTTAGGTATAAGTGCATCGCATTTATCTACAAGTGTTCAAAAGGCTTGGATAACAGTTCTGATAAGTAGCAGAAAGTATAACCTCCATTTTTATCTCTGGAAGCGATACTACTGTCACACCATGCTGTCTTCCAAGTTCATTATTCATTCAACTCCCATGTTCCTTTCTAACCCTCTAGTTCACACATAGAAAAGCACTAGTTGGTTGGTCTGTGTGGATACTGCTGGGGCCTCTACTTTCCTGCCTTCAGGGATACTGTGGTAGCATAAGTGGCTAGAATCTCTACATTCTCAAGAGCTGCAGATGTTCTCAGTTTTTCAGTGGTGTGGTTGCTGTAGTGTTATGTTTCCAGAGTTATTCCCAAATAATATGAAAATCATTAGTTAATATTACTGGTTAATGAAGTGTCTAAACATTTACATAAAACACTTCTAATGTGTTGAATTTAATATTAGTGAGAAAATTCTGTAGTATTCAAAAGAAGTACTACACAACTGAATATTTTATTTTTTTAAAAACGATTTTATTTATTTATTCATGAGAGACACACACACACAGAGAGAGAGAGAGGCAGAGAGACAGGCAGAGAAAGAAGCAGGCTCCATGCAAGGAGCCCAATGTGAGACTCGATCCTGGATCTCCAGGATCATGCCCCAGGCCGAAGGCAGGTGCTAAACCACTGAACCACCCAGGGATCCCCACAACTGAATATTTTAGATGAATGTAATGTTTAAGAGTAGTAACATTTTAGAATATGGTGAAATCTCACTTCTACAAAATGAAACCAATAGTCATTCCTCAGATATATGCTGACCTCTGTGGTTTGCAAATAGTTTTTTTTAAAGATTTTATTTATTTATGAGAGACAGAGAGAGAGAGAGAGAGAGAGAGAGAGAGGCAGAGACACAGGTAGAGGGAGAAGCAGGCTCCATGCAGGAGCCTGACGTGGGACTCAATCCTAGGTCTCCAGGATCAGGCCTTGGGCTGAAGGCAGCGCTAAACCGCTGAGCCACCCAGGCTGCCTGTGCAAATACATTTTTTAAAGGTTTCTGCTGCATATTCATATTGGTTTCTTCACAAAGACACATCAGTTTATAATTACTGCATTTTTATCATTTTTGAAATAGGTACAATGACGATGAAAAAGAAATTCATGCTTATCTTACAGGTTCTGAACTAAGTGAAATATTTGATATATTGAAAATAATTTTGTATTTTATTTGGTTGAGATTCAACATTGAGTTAATTATACCTTACCCCCACTCCAATATAGAATATAATATCTTAGACTTTCCATGATTCATTTAGCATAAACTAAGAAAAATTTTCTTTTGATGTTATTTACTTAGTTGGGCTAGAGTTGATATATTTGAATCGTTGTACTAATTCTTTTTAAATGGAATTACAATAAATATGACTGATTCAGTAAAAGGTAAAAAGCATAAAAACTTTTTGTATGAGTTACAAATGCATTACTGCTATCAGATATAAATATGATTTTCTAAAATAGCTTTGAAAGTAAAATAATGCTAATGGAAACAAATTCAATTTAAGCATCTGTTTATTAAAAGTTCTAAGTTAACTAAATTTATTAGATGCAGTTTTACAGTGGTTGCAATTAGAATTTCAAAAGCCAACTTTCCCTGAGCAGTATGTTATGTCCTATCAGTGAGGTTTGTGTGGCACAAGTGATAATGACTCGGTTGTGCCAAGGGATGAAAGGCAGAGATACACACTGATCTGTAAGCTTAAAGTGAGTATAGGTTCTGAAATAATTTAAGAGACTAGTTTAGACAATAAAATATTTGTTGTTGTATAGTCACAGACTTTTCTGAGAAAGCTAAGCTTTGGAGGAATTAAAGTATATACCCATTTAGTTTAAAATATGCATTTAAAATATGCAAACATTTTGAACATACATTCTGGAATCAGTGCTTTGCATCTTCCTTCCCTACTTCTATGTGTACCAGCATTCAAGTACTCTGCTATAAATGCTATCCCTCTGATAGGGAATAAAACAAAATATCTGCCAGCCAACTTTTCCTCTTCTTAGCCTTTTATTAGCTGGAGATACTGGGAAAAGAAATATTTAAGATATAGCCCTGCTGTTAAGGAGTTCATAGTCTTGTGTAAAGACAGGTGAAACATAATTAGTATGTAATTAATGGGATCAGTGTAAACCTGATGTGTGTGTACTATTGGAGCTATTACTCTGTTTTTGAACTCTTCACCCAAAATTGTCTGCAGAAAGGAAGCAGAGGATGAGTGACAGAAACTTTGTATTTTAAAATACAGGCACACATCCCACCCCCATCAGATGGTAAGTAACATTGATATTTGAAGGATATTTTAAAATTTTTTTTTAATTTAGGGATTTAACTGTTTTTAGGATAATTTAGATTAGCAGTTTCTCCAGCCACCTAGGCTTTTCATCCTTTAGTATGGAAACTAAGGCTGGGTGGAAACTGTTTTGAGGTAGGATTGGTGATCATCCACAAGGAATGTGGCTAACTGGGCATAACTGTTGGTTGGGATGCTGAAGCCAGAGCTCCAGAAGAGTCGCTGAGACAGAAATATCCTGATAAACAGGTTATAAAAAGTGTTATTCTTCTAATAAAATAGCATAAATCATTCCTCTTGAAAAAAATCTATTATCCTGAGAGCAGTGTTTGGCTTGGATTAGCCACTGAATTCTAGTGTTTTAAACAAAACTGAACATATTAATTTAGGCCACATTAGATTATGAGAAGCTATTTGGTTATAAATACAATATGCATAAAAATAGTAAATGTTATTTTAAACTAATTAATATAGTGGGCTTTTTTGGGAATGAGTAGTAAAGCATTTGCCTCCCATACAATTTTGTAATGTAGATAATAATATATTAACTCCCATATTTGACCTTGTAATTCATGTTTTTATATTTTTAGGCCAGTGAGGAGAATTCCTTGCTATCAAGTTCTTATCAACAAGTCAGACAGAATTAGGGCATCCTCGACCTACATTCCTGAGGACATAATAATGATTATGGGGTATGAAGCAAAGCATCTTAAGTTACAAACTATTTTTCTAGGTCTTATTTATTTACATTGAACTAAAATTAACTGTCAAGAACACTGATACTTAAAAATAAGGTATATTGCTACTATAAAAAATGTAATCTTTACCATGTAACTGAATAGAATCCTAAATTTTATCAGTAATATTAAGAAAATTTACTTAATAGTATTTCCTTTTACAAAGATGTTTGGAGTATAGTGGGTCTATTTCAGATACCCAAATGGGAAATTTTTTTTTTCTTTCAGAAAACAGCAAATATAATTTGCTGCTTTCTGGAAGGATTTTTTTAAAAAGCGGTTCAGAATAATAAAGAAATTTTGTCAGGGTTAAGTTTGGGATAGGCTTTTCCCAGCAGGCTTTGTGGCACAGGTCCCCTAAGTCATTGTGAGATGCTAGTATATGCCATGTGTCAGAAATTAAACTGCTACCAACTGACTACTAAATCTGATACTCTTAGTCTTGAGCACATGGTATGTCATACCTAAACCAGTCCAATCTTTAACGATTTTTTTCTCTTAGCCACTCTACAGAATTGCAGGACTGCTCATTTTACAAGTTTTTCTTTTTTTTTAAAGCACTATCTTTAAAAATTCCTGTAAATTCTAAAAAGTGTTTGGTAACTTAGAATTTGTTTTTAGGTATTTCATTGTAAGCTGAACTTTGTTTACCAAATATGATGAAACCATATAATGAAGCTATAGCTAAAAAAAAACCTACCCACATAATTTTTATTGAGCATAAACAATTTTTTGTAAAGATTTTATTCATTTATTCATTAGACACACACAGAGAGAGAGGCAGAGACATAGGCAGAGAGAAAAGCAGCCTCCGTGCAGGGAACCTAATGTGGAACTCCATCCCGGGACTCCAGGATCACAGCCTGGGCAGAAGGCAGGTGCTCAACCGCTGAGCCACCCAGGTGTCCCACAATTTTTTGTTGTTGTTCAGTCCCAATATGTTTTTCTATCCAACTGGATTAATAAAAGCTAAAATATAATTTATTTAGCCCTTTTTGAAATAAAAACATATCCTAAACTGGTTTTGTGATAATGCTATTTTTCATATATTTAAAAATCTATCTTAATATGGAAGACTTGGGAGAGCCAACTTTTAGTTGAGTTGACAGTAATCAAAGAATGCAGTTGCTATAATGACTACTGTTTATTAAGTGACAGCTATGGTGTGCGAGGCATTATTCTTATGGTCTTGTATTTATCAACTTTAATCCTTATAGTAACATTGCAAGGTAGGTATTTAGCCTCATTTTATTGGTGAGGAAAGAGAAGCTTAAAGACATCAAAGTGCCTTGCTTGCGAAGTTTACAGATCTGGTAAATTTGCCCAGCAGATTATTTGAGAGCCTGCTCTGTGTTGGCCCTGACACTATGCTGGGTCTGGGAATGCAGCTGTGAACCACATAGGATCTTCATTTTAAAGGAGCTTACATTGTAGTAGTAGTAAAGTCAGATTTGAACACAGGGTGTTGGATTCTAAAACTTTTCTTCGTAGCTTTCACATTCCCTCCTGCCAAGGACACAACAGAGGAGATGAATAAAACTATTTCAGTGCCACTTAAGAAAGTGGTCGGATATAAACTACATCCTGGAGTGTGCTATAGGAAAAAAATATTGGTATATGAGTATGGAGATAGGTCAGAGGAAAAACCCTAGGACCTACAGCTTTATGGTGGGGAATGGGAAACCTATGCTAAGTAACAACAGTCATGGCTTATGAACACCTGTAGATAATGTGCAATGCAATAGCGATGCATTGTACTTGCTGCTACATCTCAAATAGACTTAAGGATCATTATTATCTCAGTGTAAAATCATGCACTGTCCCACACAGTAGCCATTAACCACTTTCAAGAACTTAAAATGTGGTAAATACAATCAAGGAACAGAATTTTAAATTTTTAAAACTTTTAATTTGAAAATTGCTACCTAGCTCTTTTAAGCATGTCTGGAACAACCTGTGTGTGTGAATCTAGTTTTTCAACTACATTTTAGGAAATACAGATCAAGCATTTCTGATGAAAACTTAGCATCTGAATTAAGATTTGTTACAACATAAAGTGTACATATTTTGAAAACTTAGTATAAAAAATATAAATATCCATTATTTTTAAAATACTGATTATATGCTGAAATTATAGTATTTTAGACATATTAGATTAAAATATTAAACTTAGTTCTAACTGCTTTTTAAAAATTTTTTACATTTTACTTTTTTTATACATGTCTACTAGGTAGTTTTAAGTTACATATGTGGCTTGTCTTTATTTGTATTGGAGAATGCTTATATAATCATAGGATTCTGGTGAAGAGGATCTGTTCCATATATTTTATTTCTGGCATCAAAATATTTTCCTAGTATACCTCACTACCCTTTTATCAAAAGATAGGTGTTCCTTATCCTTTCTATTAGTGTTAAGAATCATGCTAATAACTGCCAATATTTATTCCTGTAGTAGAAATATAAAAATTTCTTACATCACTTATATTATCAGTATATAATTGTGCACGTATAACACATTTATTTTCAGAGCATTTTCCATAGTAAGTTTTTAAAAATAGAAAGTAAACTTAGCTATTTGTGGGACTGTATTCCAGGATTGACAGATTTTGGGGAGAAATACTATATACTACACAATATATATTTTCAGGACAAAAACAAACATAAAAAGTATAAAAATAAAATTATACAAACATTTTGGTTGGAATTTCAGAGGTTTTTTCTTTTCTTCTCTTTCCCTTTTACTTCAAAAGTTATAAATACTTTTGAAGCAGCATGTATTGTTGCACTTTTGATTTTTTGTTGTACAGTTAATGAACTTGAGAGTCTGGATGACTGGAGATCATCTATTTGGCCTTCCCATTCTTTTGTTTCTTCTTCTTTGATTAATAAAGGTTTTCCTAGAGTTTGGCCAACAAGGTTACAGACTTCTTGAGCTTTGCGCCATGCGTTCTCAACAGCAACAAGACAGGCTTGGCGTCTTAGGGATTAAATGCAGAGATTATTAATATGACATTCAATAAACTCTAGCACTGAATAGTTTTGTTTAATTAGTTGATAATTTAGGTAAAGATATACTTAACTTACCGAAGATTCTCAACAGAACCTGGAGTATGATAGAACTGGGGTTGGCTAATAACAACAGAGCTATCTAGCTTTTCAACAAGAAAGTTACAAATATTTTGCATTTTTCCAAATTCAGTAAATGTAATGCAGACCTGTAAATGAAATGACACTTGAAATTATTTTCATGCCTGATCTATTCTTTCAAGATTTTCTGTAAATATGAGTAAAAAAGGTAAAGTCAAATAACAATGAGGTCATTTTATTATAATATGTGACAGATAAAGCTATTTGATACTGAAAACTAAATTATTTTATTAAATTTTATTAAACTTTTAAAAAGTAGCCTCTATATTTAACTTTTAAACATATGAAATACAGTTATAGTAACTAATGATCCTGCCTGGTTATTCTAACATCTATATTGGTTCTGGGTAAGTTTTTTCTCCTTATTGTGAGCTTTGTTTCCATGGTATTTTGCATGCCAGGTAATCTTTCACTTCATGGGAGGTATTGGATATTCTTCTATTTCTATAAATATTCTTTATTTGTTCTAGAATTCAGCTAACTGGGAAACTGATCTCTTTAGGTTTGCTTTTAAGATTTGTTAGGTGGGAATAGAGTAATGTTCCATCTGGTGCTATTACTCCCTAATGAGGCAGGACACTTCTGTATACTCTACTTCAAGCCCTATGAATCAAGATTTCCTAGCCTGGCTGAGGCTCTACCCAAACCCTGTTTGTTCAAACACTGTTCCCTCTAATCTTTTTGGGGAATTCTTTACTTAGCCTCAGGTCATTTCTGCACATACATGTGCTGATGGGTATTCTGCTGAGTACTTGGTGAAGGTTGGGGAAGAGGGGTCCCCTCTGTAGTTTCTGAAGACCTCTTTTTGTGCAGCCCTTTACTCTCCTATAAGCTCTAGCTGTCTTGTCTTGTTTGGGCTCTCAATTCTATTTCTTCAATACAAGGAGTTTGCCAGGCTCTGTGTGGGTTCCCTTCCCTGTGAAGCTGCCTGGACACTCTCTTAAGAAAGTGATCTAGGACATGGTAGGACTTTTTTTTTTTCTTTTTTAAAAGATTTTATTTATTTACTAGAGAGATAGTGTATGAGCAGGGAGAAGAGAGAGAGGGAGAGGGAGAATCAGGCTCCCCACTGAGTAGGGAGCCTGATGTGGGACTTGGTCCCAGGACCCTGGGATCATGATCTGAGCTGAAGGCAAGTGCTTAACCGACTGAGCCACCCAGGCACTCTGACACAGTAGGACTTTTACTTCTTTTTTCTCAGGGATCACTGTGTTTCATTGCCTTATGTCCACCCTTTTGAAAACTATTTCATACACTTTGTCCATTTTTTGGTTTCAGGTGGGAAGGTAAATCTAGCCAATGTTATTCTATCTTAGCCAGAAGCAGAAGTCTTCTCTGTCTTTTGAAGAGAAGTCTGATAGTTTTGTTTCTTTCCTTTTTTTTTTTTTTTAAATACTCTATGGTATTAGTTAAAATATCAGTCTATTAGTGAAAAATCAATCTCTCAGCCTTACCCAGGGTGCTAGTTTTTAAATTCTAGATAGTTTCCAAAATTGCATTTTCTTCCTGGTTGAAAATCAAAGTTCCAAAATGCCTATAGCTGCCTTTTTTTTTTTTTTTTTTTTTTTATAGCTGCCTTTAATAATAAATACAGGGGTGCCTGGGTGGCCCAGTGAGTTGAGCATCTGACTCTTTGGCTCAGGTCATAATATCAGGTTCGTTAGATTGAACCCCTTGTCAGGGTCTGTGCTCAGCAGGGAATCTGCTTGAAGATTCTCTTCTTCTGCCCCTTCCCCAACTTGTGCTCTCTCTCTTTCTCTCAAATAAGTAAATAAATAAATACTCTTTAAAAAAGTATGAAAGCAAATACAGGGATGCCTGGCTGGCTCAGTCAGTTAAGCATCCAACTCAGTTTCCACAAAGGTCACGATATCAGGGTCATGAGATTGAGCCCCAAATGCTTAAGATTCTCTCTCTCCCTCTGCCCCTCCCTGCTGTGCTCTCTCTCTCTCTCTCAAAAAAAAAAAAAAAATACAGACCATACTTTTCTGCATTTGCATAGTCTAAATATGGAAAAAAGTCTTGTCTTTTGTTGCTATATTTAATCTATAACAGTCACAAAGGCACTGTACATACATTTCATTACATATAATGAAATATGGCAAGATTTATAGTGCTTTTATAGAAGTTGGAGGGTAACTAAATTTCAGAGTTCAAAGGCTTTCTCTGCATGCAGATTAGAGTGATTGAGCATAACAGGTTCCAAGTGGCAACAAAAGTAATTCTTTGCTATATAAGAACATAGCCCTTGAATTATATTTTATTGAGTTTAAAGATTTATTTTAGAGAGAGACAGTGAACAAGTGCAGGGAGGGGGAGAGGGAGAGAGAAACTTTAGCAGACTCCTTGCTGAGCTCAGAGCCTGACATGAAGCTCGATCTCAAGATCCTGAGATCATGACCTGAATGGAAACCAAGAGGAGGCTTATTCTATTGCCCCATCCAGCGTCCCTGAAATAAATTTTATTTAAAGAAATTGTTCCAATTTCTACTCTGATTGCTTAAAACAAAAATAATTCTTATAAGTATACCTGCTTTCCTATGAAACATGCCCTCTTGGTATTCTTTGCTATTAAAAAAAAAAAAAAGTAGGGGCACCTGGGTGGCTCAGTGGGTGAAGCATCTGCCTTCAGCTCAGCTTTCTTGGTCATGATCTCAAGATCCTAGGATCCAACCCCACGTTTGGGCTTCTCGCTCAGCAGGGAATCTGCTTCTCCCTCTGCCTCTGCTTCTCTCTTTCTCTCAAATCTTTTAAAAAAAGCATATGGAGGAAAGGACAATGAAAATTCCTAAGAAGTTTGCTGATACTAGTTGTTTTTCGAGTCCCCTCCACCCCTAATTATCTGAGGCAAATCTAATCCCACAAAATCAGGTTTACCATGTAGTACTTGGCTTGCTCTACTTCTATAAAAAGCAGGAAAAACTCTCTGTTGCGATCAGCTCTGGAACTGGTCAAACAAGAGTCTGCCTTGCATCCCTCTTATTACCATGACTTAAAAAGTTAGCAGATGTAGCTTTTAGAAGTACATCTACATTCATTTACTCATTCATTCATTTTACAGATTTTATTTATTTATTCATGAGAGACACAGAGAGAGAGAGAGGCAGACACACAGGCAGAGGGAGAAGCAGGCTTCAGGCTTCATGCAGGGAGCCTGATGCAGGACTTGATCCCGCGACTCCAGGATCATGCCCTGGGCGGAAGGCAGGCGTTAAACCACTGAGCCACCCAGGGATCCCACATCTACATTTATAAACAGACTATCAGCTCTTTGTCCCAAACCATGGACAAACTATAGTTTAGGAATATGTGGGTTAAATGATTAACAAGAAATAAAAGAAATAAATTTGATAGAAAAAAAACTTGTATTCTGCTTTTTCTAACAGTTCAAGAACTGCTTTAAGCCTGCCAATACCCTGAACTTCGGCTTTTAAATTCAGCAATATGGTATATAATCAATACATAGCTCGAAAGAAATCCAAATTAATGAGGCAGGAGTCACTTTACTAAAGAATAGAGATGTTGCATCACAATTTTTTTTTATTATTTATGATAGTCACAGAGAGAGAGAGAGAGAGAGGCAGAGACACAGGCAGAGGGAGAAGCAGGCTCCACGCACCGGGAGCCTGACGTGGGATTCGATCCCGGGTCTCCAGGATCGCGCCCTGGGCCAAAGGCAGGCGCTAAACCGCTGCGCCACCCAGGGATCCCTGCATCACAATTTTTAAGAGCTATTCAGGATAAAAAAGTTTTAATCTATCTCATATATTGAAGATAAAATTTATTCATTCATTCATTCATTTATTTATTTAATTTTTTAAAAGATTTTATTTATTTATTCATGAGAGACACAGAGAGAGACAGAGAGGCAGAGACACAGGCAGAGGGAGAAGCAGGCTCTATGCAGGGACCCTGACATGGGACTCGTAACCCGGGGTCTCCAGGATGATGCCCTGGGCTGAAGGCAGCACTAAACCGCTGAGCCACCCGGGCTGCCCTGAAGATAAAATTTAAGATAAATTCATATATCATATTCATAATTCTCATTTGTTTTATCATGGTAAAATAATGTGATTACAAATGTATACACATAAACCTATTTTATATACTCTCTTGTACTAGCTATATTAAATTACAAAACAGGTTGATACATAAGTGCTTCCCATCTCTTTGGTCAAGAAAACTCATTAGAAATTTCGGTACTAAAAAAGAAACTGAATTCCAAAATAGTTTTTTTTTTTTTTTTTTTTTTTAAGTAAACTCTAGGGGATCACTGGGCGGCTCAGCAGTTTGGTGCCTGCCTTCGGCCCAGGGCATGATCCTGGAGTCCTGGGATCAAGTCCCAGGTCAGGCTCCCTGCATGGAGCCTGCTTCTCCCTCTGGCTGTGTCTCTGCCTCTGTTTCTCTCTGTGTCTCTCATGAATAAATACATAAAATCGTAAAAAAAAAAAAAAAAGTAAACTCTACTCCCAATATGGCGTTCAAATTCATGACCTCAAGATTAAGAGCTGCATGCTCTGCTGACTAAGCCAGCCAGGTACCCCCCAAATAGGTGAGATTTTAAGTGCCTCTAATAAATTTGTCTCTTATTGAATAAATCAAATCTCAGTTTATTAAAAATATCTGCAAATGAGACTTCTGAATTATTGCTAATCTCAATTACCATAAAGAAACAGCCAAAAGCCTTTTTAAAAATACCTGGTAGTTCTAATTTCCATAAAAGGCAGGTGGCTATAATACTGAACAAACTACATGTAGTAGGCTAGACTCTTTTCGATTCTAGGCAAGATTCTACAACAGATTATTTTAAAAATTAGTTTATAAGAAATTAGGAAAGAAAAAAGTTTTTAGGAGAAGGAAAGAAGATAAGGCCTTTTGATTCATTTTGTTCCATTGCCACAGGCCTCAAGCACTTTGCATATTTTCTTTTCTTTTTGGTACTGCCACAATCTATTCTTTTCTTTCCTCTTTAAATCTCTCCCTGCTTTCTTGGTCCTGTCTCTGAAGAAAAGAATACAAGTCTTTTTCACATTAATGGTCCTCCAAGAAGGCATCAGGAATAACAAAATAAGAACACAGGAATCTAATACTAAAATCTTGAAAAGTTCTCTAAAGTCTTGAGTTTCTTGATGAGATGTAGAAAACTCATCTGACTTTTAATTTTGCTTTTATTCCTAAGAGTGAGGTTCACCAACTTATGCTTTTCTTCTAATCTCTATCTTCTGAACCACTGCCAAATTATTTCTATCCAAAGGCCAACCTATTGAGCATGTAGATTTGAGATTATTAAGAACAAGTCATGATGTACTAAACTTGACTTCCTAGCTGGCAAGTTATTAGAGAAATACTGTAGCTCTAAAGGATTTATATTTTACTTATTTAGACAAATCTTGGGATATACTGACATACAGTCTTCATGGCAACATTGTTGGTTAGGCTCATAGTTGATTAATGCTACTTAATATTTTTATTAATTACACAGATGGGTACACAGATGATCAGATCAGCAGGTGACAGAAAGCTGGCAGGATAGAATATAAACACTGCTTGATAAAATCAAGACCCAAAAAGATCCTATAGGCTCAAAACACAGGTCAAACCTAGTGGATAAAATTTTACAGAGATAAATATAAACTTATACTTCATTTTGAAGTAGCAATAACAAAATATAAAATAGAAATATGATTTAAAGCAGTATCTGAGAAAGGCAGTTGAGCAAATTGTAATTATTAATTATAACTGAGCTCAAAAGAAGGAAACAATGTGATGCAAGTGCTAGAAGTTCATTTTTCAACATTTCAAGATAAGGAGATAGTCATCTTTTTCTCATACGGGCTGGTTAAATCACAGGACACTATAGCTTAGGTGCTTTAGATGGAAATTGGTCGACTCGATAAAGAGTTTGTCTTATTATAAGAAATGACTAAAGAAATTGGGGATTCTTACCCCTGGAGAAGAAAAAAGTAGCATCAACATGATACTGAACTTCCAAGTATCTACCTGAAGGAATAAGTATTAGCCTTTTGTTCTTGAAGAGGTACATAATGGATGAATAATAGTGAGTCTAGGGGATCCCTGGGTGGCGCTGCGGTTTAGCGCCTGTCTTTGGCCCAGGGCGTGATCCTGGAGACCCAGGATCGAATCCCACATCAGGCTTCCGGTGCATGGAGCCTGCTTCTCCCTCTGCCTGTGTCTCTGCTTCTCTCTCTCTGTGTGACTATCATATAAATAAATAAAAAGAAAGTATAAAAAAATATAGTGAGTCTATCCTGGCTTAACGTTACAAAATTTTGTATTGATTAGATGTCTGAAGATGGAATAAACTTTTTATAGTCGTGCACTTATATAATTTCTAACTTTTGATTATCTTTAAAATAAAGAGAAGCAGCAGGGTAGGTAGAAGTTTATAGATAAAGAATCTTTAAAGTGCCTTTCAGGATGAAAATTTTAGTTATTACGTAAAATAATGTTCTACTATCTGATCTTACTTTGTATATTTAACTGTCCATGAGAATATTGGTATATGTTAGACATCATTTTGTACCTTGTGACCCCACCCTGGTCTCCACTGACTGCTGATGCTAACCTAAGAGCAATCATGTTTAGATTGCAGGATTTAAGAATTCTGGCTATCAGAGAGCCCTATATAAAATATAAACATTTTCTGAAGAAAATGAGTACAAGACATTAAGAAGTAAATATAGAAGAAGAGGAGCGGTGTTTAGCCAAGTCCTCATTTAGTCGTCATCTTATAGCAAAACAAGCAGCTCTAATGCATTTTTTTTTAAGATTTATTTATTTATTCATGAGAGACATGGAGAGAGAGGCAGAGGGAGAAGCAGACTCCCTGCAGGAGCCCGATTCAGGACTTGATCCTGGAGCTCCAGGATCACGCCCTGAGCCAAAGACAGACACTCAAATGCTGAGCTACCCAGGTGTCCCTCTAAAGCGTTTTTTGTAACTGTACAGTGGGTCCCTAAAACAGCTGTCTAAAAAACATGCCCATTTTCCATGAAGCCTGTGTATTTACTGGGACCATTCCTTTTCCTCCTTCCTTCCTGTATCTTCACAATAAAGCCCATTAACTTAAAATACTTAAAAGGTAACCTGAGCCAATGTACATTCACTACAGCCTAAAGCCCTGACAGGTAATAACTACTGGAGGAGTTCCAGAATACTCCTGGCTTTTGATCTCCATAACACAGATTCTTGCCACTCTGTTCTTCATCCTGTTGTGTGGTTTTTTTTTTTTTTTTGACACCCAATCTCCTTGTGAATATTACCCAGAGATCCCTCAAACTGAAAAATCTATTTTAAGAAAACAATTGATATGAAACAATGATATCATAGTGTATATCATAAAAGTCGTATTAAAATTTTTATCTGAGAAGATTCATAACTCCCTTTTTAAAATAACTCCTTTTTAAAACTGCAGTTGGCACACAATGTTACATTAGTTTCAGGTATAAAACAGTGATTCAACAAATCTATACCCTTTTTAAGATTTTAAGTAATCTCTACACCCAATATGGGGCTCAAACTTACAACCCCAAGATGGAGAGTCACTAACCAAGCCAGCCAGGTGTCCAATAAGTCTATACCCTCTATGCTCACAAGAAGTGTGGCCACAATCTGTCACCGTACAACACTATTATAATATCACTGACCGTATTCCCTATGCTGTACCCTTCATCTCCATAGTTGACTCATTCCATAACTGAAAGCAGGTTATCTCTCACTCCCTTTCACCCATTTTGCCCATTCCCCCAGCTCCCCTTTATCCTGTTTTGAAAGATACTTTTCAGTCCCTATTATAAAATAAATTTTGCCATGTGGATCCATAAAATTATCCTAAGTAATTTTAAAATCCCTTGAGATAGTTAAATTTTAAGTTGAAAATCACAAAACCATTAAAATTAGTATTGGAGCAACAATGTTTGTAGAAATTACTATCTCAAAGAGGTAAGAAACCAGGATTCTAATTTCTATTCTAATTCTTGTAACAGTCTTTGAGAAGTCTGAGCCCAGGTTATCTAAGATTAAAATTATATCCTTAAAATTAGAAAAATAACCTATTATATGCCTGAAGGTAGGACTAGATGATTTCTCAAGATATTTCCCACCTCTAAAGATAATCTGACTAGATAAATAAGAGTCCACTCTAACTCCATTCTTGTTTGCTTCCTGTGACAAGCAGGCAGTATGGACCTCGCACATAATCCCAAGATGTTTGGAAGTGAAACAAATAGCGGTCCTATAATCTAACTACAATTATAACATAATTGTATAACAAATAAAATCCAGATCATAAAATCTTTAAAGATAAGTAAAAAGTATAGGCAATTGTAGGAACTAAATGTTATTGAGTATACAAAAATATTTTGTTCTTTTTAACTTGGGCAAAGGTTGAATAGTTTTTATTTATATTTTTAAAATTATTTATTTTGAGGAATTTATTTTTAAAGATTTATTTGAGAGAGAGAAAGCATGAGCAGGGGAAGGGGTAAAGGGGAGGAGGGGGCAGAAGGGGTAGGACAAGCAGACTCCCTGCTGAGTGGGGAGCCCAATTCAGCTGGATCCCAGGACCCTGAGATTATGACCTGGGCCCAAGCCAGATGTTTAACCAACTGAGCTATCAAGGCGCCCCTTAAAGATTTTATTTTTAAGTAATCTCTAAACCCAATAGGGGGCTTGAACTCATAACCCCAAGATCAAAAGTTGAAAGCTCTACTCGTAAGCCAGCCAGATGCCCCAAGTGGTTATTTTTAAAGATTTATTTATTTTAAAATGAGAGAGACAATCTCAAGCAGACTCCCCAGTGATCACAGAGCCCAATGCAGGGCTCATCTCATGACCCTAAGATCATGACCCAAGCCCAAATCAAGAGTTGGATGCTGAATCACCCTGGTGCCCACAAGTGGTTTTTATTTTGAAATAAAATTTAACTTACCACAAACAGTAAAATTGCATTATAAAAAAGAATGTTGAAAAGTGTGTCAATCCTTATGTAAGGACTTTATTAATTTGCTTTTTATCTGAGAAGAAGAAATTTCTCTCCTGTAGTGTTTCCTGCTCATGAAGTGGTAACTTTACTAAAATTTTATTCAGGTGGCAATTAACTGCCACTTCCTCCTTGCTATTTTTATTCCTTTTCAAAACAATTTCTCTCAAATAAATCTCATTAAAATTTATTTTAAAAGCTCACGCAGGGGTGCCTAGCTGGCTCAGTGGTAAGAGCATGCGACTCTTGATCTTGGGGCTATGAGTTCAAGCCCCATGTTGAGTGTAGAGATCACAAAAAAAAAAAAACAAAAACCAAAAACTTTAAAAAACCCACAGATTTTAACACCAAAAATGATTTTGAGAAAAATAATCTTGTATCAATACCATGGGAAGCATTTTTCCTGTACATTTCAGTTCAAGAGTAAAATAAATGCAAATTGTCCCCATAAAGTCATGCTGTTTCCAATTATGTTATGATAAGTACATACCTCTGCCTCCATGTGATAAGCATTTTCCACTCTTCTAAAATCCTTTGTCACAGTTACATTTTCTGCCTGAAGCAGAAGTACAAGAGTATAATTACTAAAGGTTTGGCTACTAAATGCAGGGACTCTAAAACATAAAGCAGAAACCTGAACTTATTAAAATCAGAATAACAGAGTATGTAGAAAGAACTGATTTGCTTGATGTTTAAAACTTTCCTAAAAGTTACATAAAGTAAATTCAAAGTCTACAAATACTTGCTGAAAATTTCATCATTGTCACTCCATTTGTAGTAATTTTTACATTGGCTTGTACAAAAAGTATGAACTTAGACTGGTATACATATGAGGAATTATTTGTACATAAAGCCTTTTGGATGTTATAGGAGTCTGCTGATCATGCTAAATAAGTAAATTTGTTTCATTATAGATATATTCCTGATAATGTCTGACTGGTGGGCTCCCACACAAAATATGAGCTTTTTCTGGTTATCTGTAGGGTAATGGTTCCTAAGCAGAAGGCAATTTTGCTCCCCAGGGAAATTTGCTAATGTCTAGAGACATACTTGATTGTTAAAATGGGCTAGAGAAGTACACTTTTATAATGTACTAAGTAGACACTGAATAAATGCTTCTGTTTACTAGAAACTGAGGAGGTTCCTAAGACATGGGACTAATTCTAGGAAAACTGGGACAGTTCCAGGTAACTGAGGACAAGTTGGTCATGTGATGGGTAGGGGTCAGGAATATAGCTAAATATTCTAAAATGCATAGGACGGCAAACAAAGAATTATCTAATCTAGGATGTTAAAAATAGTGCCAAGATTGGGAAATCCTGCCATTTTGGGTACAAACTAAAAAATTACTAAAATATACTAGCCTAGTCCATTAAGTTTTCCCAACTAGGTTCCAGGGAAGCTATTTTATATCCAAATATAAAGGGCAGATTTTAAAAGACAAAAAGGTCAGTATAAGAATAACTACTTAAGTCTATGAAGGCAGCAAGGTAACATTCTCAATAGGTATAAAAAAACCTTGTCATGGCTGGAATACACTTAAAAAGGACAAACATGAAGAAAACCACAGAACTTCACACACACACACACACACACACACACAAATGCTTGAAAAAATGGACCAGGATACAATATTGTAAAATCAATAATTCTCTTGAAATTAATATAAGAATACTGCAAAATATGAAAAGAAGTTTTATTTGGACTCCAGAATTTTACACTCTCTGGGTTTTCTGATTGTTTCCCTGTGGTGTAATTTAACATGTCGCTTGCAGACAGGAAATCTTCTAGTAGAAAAGTATGAGGGCAGAACTTGCCCTTCAAATGTTTTACAAAGCTATAATAATTTAAATAATGTGGTACTAATGTAGCAGCATAACCAGGATCAAAGAACTAGTATTCCAAAACTAATCCAAGAATGTCTGAAGATTGCAAATATAATACCAGTAACATTTCAAAACAACAGGCACAGCAAGCAATATGGAATCCTCATGACATACAATCTGCCCCTAATCTCTCTGACAGCAACTATGTGGTGAAAGGTAAATCCTGATTAGGTCTAAACCATTCAGGATTATCACACCTAATTTGCTACAAGATTAGGTTAAAAAATGGGCAGAAATCTAAATTTACACTAATTAGTATATGTATATGCCATTTCTCTGGCCAGACAATTTAGATCGTCTATTTAACATGTCCTGTGAACTACAGGAGTATTTGTTTTTATGTGGTTGCAGGAAATAAGAACTATTGACTTTCTTGTTATGGTACAGTAAGTATGTGGTGTAAGGCTTGGGAATATTGTAGCCATCTTAGTATCATGCAGGAAGCACAGGAAAGCCAGGAGAACTGCATCAAAACAGAGCCTTGACCATTGCATACCTGATGTGCATATTATTCATTTAAGATTATGAAAGCAATATTTTTAATTTTTATTATAATTTTAAAATACTTTAATAATACTTTTTTAAAAAAAGATTTTACTTATTTATTCATGAGAGAGAGAGAGAGAGAGAGAGAGAGAGAGAGAGAGAGATTGGCACAGACACAGGCAGAGGGAGAAGCAGGCTCCATGCAGGGAGCCTGATGTGGGACTTGATCCTGGGCCTTCAGGACCACATCCTGGGTTGAAGGCGGCGCTAAGCCACTGAGCCACCCGGGCTGCCCATACTTTTTGTTTTTAAGGGCAATTCAAGTTAAGTTCTTGTACATGCAGTAAAAGATAAGATTTCAGTACATGATTTCAGTACAGCAACTTACCCATTTAGGAGAAAACAAAACCCTTTTCCTTACACCAAAGTGAATTCCCACACACCAAATATTTAAGTAGTATCAAGGGTCCCTAAAGGTTCCAGGAAATATTAGTTAATAGTTATATAACCTTAAGCTTCGGAAGGATCTAGTAAGTGTTACACCAAAGGCAAGAAACATATAGAAAAGATTAATGAATTTGTCTAAATAAAACTTAAACATTTTGTATGTTCAATACTGTAAAAGGTATATGGCAAAGATGAAATTGGGAGAATTTTTTGCAATACATGGAGGACAGAGCTGTTGATAAAGTTCCCTTAATCTTGAAAAAGAAGATCAAAGCCAGAAGTATCACAATCCCAGATATCAAGATACACTACAAAGCAGCAATCAAAACAGTAAATATTGGCACAAAAATAGATGTATACCAGTGGAACGGAATAGAGCTCAGAAATAATCCCACACTTATATGGCCTATGACAATTAATTAATCTATGACAAAGGATGCAAGAATATACAATGGGAAAAAGGCAGTCTCTTCAACAAATGGTACTGGGAAAATTGGACAGCTGCATGCAAAACCATGAAACTGGACCACTTTCTCACACTATACATAAAAATAAACTCAAAATGGATTAAAGGCCTAAATGCAAGATCTGAAACCATAGAATTTCTAGGAGAAAACACAAGCAATAATTTCCTTGATATTAGCCATAGAAACTTTTTTCTAAATATGTCTCCTCTGACAAGGGAAACAAAAGCAAAATTAAACTACTGGGACTACACCAAAATAAAAAGCTTCTGCACGGGGAAGAAAATCATCAACAAAACAAAAAGGCAGCTTACTGAAAGGGAGAAATAATTTTAAATGATATATCCAAAGGAGATAAAGAATTTATACAACTCATCACCACAAAAACAAATAATCCAATTAAAAAATGGGCAGAGGACCTGAATACAGATTTTTCCAAAGAAGGCATACAGATGGCCAACAAACACATGAAAAGATGCTCAATGCCACTCACCTCAAGGAAATGCAAATTAAAACTACAATGAGATACCACCTTATTATGTCAGAGTGGCTAAAATCAAAAACAAGAATAACAAATGTTGGTGAAGATGCGGGGAAAAAGGAAACCTGTACGTGACTGGTGGGAATACAGACTGGTGCAACCACTGTGGAAAACCGTATGGAGGTTCCTCAAAAAGTTAAAAATAGAATTACCATATGATAAGTAATTCTACTGCTGGTATTTACCCAAAGAAGACACAAACACTAATTCAAAAAGATACCTGCATCCCTATGTCCATTGCAGCATTATTTACAATAACCAAAATATAGAAGCAACCTAAGTGTCCATCCATTGGTGAATGGATAAAGAAGATGTCTGACAGACATTCAAACATACACACATTGGACCATAACTCAGCCATCAATATGTTGGATCTAGAAGATATAATGCTAAGTAAAACAAATCAGCCAGCAAAAAACAAATACCATATGATTATATTCATATGTGGAATTTAAGAAACAAAGCAATTGACCAAACAAGGGGAAAAAAAGAGAGACAAAAAAAGACTTAACTACTGAGAACAAACTGGTGGTTGTCAGAGGGAAGTGGGGAGTGGGATATAGATAAATCGATAAAGGGGATTAAGAGTACAACTATCTTTTTTTAAAAATATTTTATTTATTTATTCATGAGAGACACACACACAGAGAGAGAGAGGCAGAGACACAGGCAGAGGGAGAAGTAGGCTCCCCGCAAGGAGCGGGATGTGGGACTCGATCCCGGATCCTGGGATCACAACCTGAGCCGAAGGCAGACTGCTGAGCCACCCAGGCATCCCAAGAGTATAATAATCTTGATGAGCACTGAGAAATGTACAAGATTATTGAATCATTATACTGTACAGTAGAAACTAATTTTTAAAAAGATCCCTTAAATTAATAAAGAAAAAACAACAGAAAAAATGGACAAAGTATTATGAATTGGCAATTTACATGAAATAAAGTTTAACTTCAAATGTGAAAAAAACATAAAACATAGGAAGTGACAGTAACATTTTTTTACTGAATTGGCAAAATTAAAAAAATTATGTCCATTATGCCTAGTGTAAACTTTTCATCCTAGACTGTAATTTTTCATAAGCCTGAAAGTTTGTATAAACCAGGAATTAATGTCCAAAAAACATAATTAGGGATGCCTGGGTGGCTCAGTGGTTGAACATCTGCCTTTGGCTCAGGGTGTGATCCTGGAGTCCCGGGATCGAGTCCCACATCGGGCTCCCTGCATGGAGCCTGCTTCTCCTCCCTCTGCTATGTCTTTGCCTCTCTCTTTATCTCTCATAAATAAATAAACAAATAAATAAATAAATAAATAAATAAATAAATAAATAAATATCTTTAAAAAAAAAAAACACCCAAAACCAAAAAGCATAATTAAGAACATGTATAAATACCTAGCAACAAGGATATTAATTTTGTCACCATTTTCAATAATGAAAAGCTAAAGCCAACTTGTATGATATATTCAATCTATTCCTACTACTCCCTATCTTAATTTGAGCATATCCAGAAACAGACTCTGAGCCAAGGATGTGAGTATAAACAGTTAATTTTTTTTTAAGGATTTTTATTTATTCTTTTTTGAAAGAGAGAGAGAGACACACAGAGAGAGAGAGGTAGAGACACAGGCAGAGGGAGAAGCAGGCTCCATGCAGGGAGCCCGCATGGGACTTGATCCCAGGTCTCCAGGATCAAGCCCTGGGCCGAAGGCTGCCCTAAAGATTTTTATTTATTTATTCATGAGAGACACAGAGAGAGGCAGAGACATAGGCAGACAGAGAAGCAGGCTCCATGCAGGGAGCCCGATGTGGGACTCCATCCTGGAACTCTGGGATCACACCCTGAGCCACAGGCAGACACTCAACCACTGAGCCACCCAGGCGTCCCTAAGCAGTTAATTTTTAAGATGATCCCAAGAAACCCTGTAGGGGAGTGGGAAGTGACATGGAAGGAAGTAAGCCATTAAAGTATGTATTGCCAAGCAGTCACCACTGTGGGCAACTGGAACTTTTATCTGCAGAGAAACTCTGGCAATAAGGCAGAACACGTACCTCATTATTAAGCTGCCCAAGAGGGAAGGTGTCTTTCCCCTCTCTCCCCTCAGTTGTTAGTTCAAGGCTGCTAGAGCTTGAGGAGGGGTTAATTCTCTGGCACTACTGACTGGCCCACTTGTAGGTGGAGCCAGGAAAAACTGGCAAGGAATTCACAAGTGTTGGCAGATGGAAGTTGGGCCTGTATGCACACAAATGTGAAGTGCCAAGGGATACAAGTGTGGGGTATCAATAGCATCTGCTACATCCCCTACTTAAAACTTAATCACCCACTGCCAAGACAATAAAGCAGCAACACACTACAGTGGTTAAGAGCAAGGGTTTTGAGGTCAAAATTCTTGACTAGAGTCTAAACTTTGCCACTTCCTAGCTGTGTGACCTTGGGCGGGCTCCCTGCCAATAATCACTCTGATCCTGTGAGTTCTCAACCATAAACAGCAATTGAAATGCATTTTCATGTGGTCGGAATGAGTATCAAATGAGATAACATTTGTAAAAGGTCTAGCATTAAGCAGGGTTTTTTTTTTTTTTTAATAGCCAATAATATCCAAACTCCTCATTATAGCAAACAAAGCCTTTCTCCATGCTCTGTCTACAGCTTTCTGAACACATTTTCTTCATAACACTTACTATATATTAGTTTATTCCTATCATGAGATTCCTTCAGCACAGTACCTATGTTTTACTCATTCTTTATTTTTGGTGCACAGCAACTATTACACATTTATCAAAAAAATATACAATTATGAGTAGGCAAATACTGGAGCATACAGCCTATGAAGAGAACATGCAAACCACAAAGCAAAATGTTATATATATAAAGTATAGCCCATGAATGCAAAGCAAGTGATACAAAAAGGTCTGTGCTCTGGAGAGGTTTAGAATATGAAGAAGACACCAGTAAAGCAAGAATTAAAATACAGACTAAGTTTTATTACAAGTGGGAAATGGAGTGTGGTATGACAGAGAACTAGTGTTATGTTAATGTTATGACTAGTGTCACCAAGGAGGTGAGGTTGGTTGGTTCTTAAAGGAGAAAATGGGCATCAGCTAGTCAAGGAGAGGCGAGATAACAGGAAATAACAGAGAATTAGGCTCCATCTATTAAGCAGGGTAACCTGAATACGAGGAAACCTTTAAGTAGGGCAGTGATGTTTATAAAACCCAAACTCCAAAGTCTAAAATGAATAAAGACTTTGTGAAAACCCATTATAATTCATCCTGAAAAGTAATATAATTTTTGCATTATCTACTGAACAAATCATCTACATGACTGCTTTCTTCCATTAGCAAAGATAATTGGTAGATTACTGACCTTCTATCTCTTGCCTTGAACACTGAACCCTAATGTAATTAAGTTAATGCAGTAATTTATTGTTTTACATATAGAAGTTACAGCCATGTGGACTTGGTATACATTTTACATAAATAAGAATTAGTTATATTATGCAAACAGGACTGCAGCACGGGCAACAGTTGTTTTGAGGAAATTTTTTCTACATATTAAACCATTTAATTCACATTGCTTATAATAAGCATTTGAATTCTTTTAAACTGTGAAGTAATTAAGGCATCTTTTCCAAATGACTTTTTAAATAACTATACTAGTAAATGCAGTACAAATATATTTTTTCCTTAAAATAAAGACTTGCTTTTTGGGTGTGGGTCATGTTTAACAATAGGCAGGAAGCATTGTTATGAACTTGGTGTTACCCTGGATAAATCACAACTCTGGCCTTTTGAGTCCTACTGTGTAAAATGAGGGAATTGGGATAGTTGACCCATTCTGTGGCTTCTAATTTTCTTGTATTCCAATTATCTGGAGGCAACTGTGGCTGGAAAAAAAGCGGATTTAAGTTTCAAGAAGACAACAAATACCACCCTACCTGAAATTTAGAGCATTACTTAACCTCTTTAAATCTAAATGGGGATATTAAAACCTGACTCACAAAGCTGTTGTTCAGATTAAATAAAGCTGGTTCGCTTCTTTCCTTTTTAGAAGTGGAGCTAAGATGCAGTTAGTGTTTGTTTCACGGACATCTCTCGTTAAGTAGCAGTATTTCATTTGTGTGGCATCTACAACATGTTGGCTTAATTGTTTTGAAAGTTCAAAACGAAAAATATTGCAGACATTTTTTAATGGAATTCATTTTTCCTCCCCACGTTCATGTTGGCGGAAAAATGCTGAAAACCCACTTAATGCGAAGCTTCACCCGGTGGGGAGGGAGCAGGCCACGCTCTTCGCTTGCCAACTGCATGGTGCAGAATGAAAACAAAGAATGATTAGTGTGTAGTACACTGACTTAGGCAACCATTTTACACCTAATGGTCAGGCCTGACAGTTCATCCTACCGAGGTTAAAAACAAAATTATTGGCGACAAACACCACCAAATAAAAACTTACTCGATTTGCATTCTTTTACTTTGTAAGCCACTGAGGCTTACCTCAGTAAGGTAAGCTTACCTCAGGTAGCGGCAATACGTCGTTGGCCGCAAGTTTCAGTCGGCCAGGTCGTGGCCTCAGTAACTAATACCAGGGAGACCAACGTGCCCCGGACCCTCTAGCCCTCTAGCCCCTCCGCGCCGCCTCCAGCAGGGACCCGCGGGGCCGGAAGTTCCGCCTCCGGTTTTTGCCGTCCGGCCCGAGGCCTCCCTCACGAAGCTCTCACCTGCAGGCCCTGCTGTTGGAGGCTCTGCGCGATGTAGTCCAGGCGGCGGCAAACGCTCTTCTTGGCCTCAGCCGCTGCCTCCTTGGTGCTGCTCACTAGCACCGCCACCTGCGCGCGGTCAGGGCTCGCAGACACCTCCGCGGTGCCGCTTACGTGCACCTCGCGGGTCGCGCTTTGGGCCTGTGCCGAGGAGACGGGGCGGCGGAGGCCGGGCAGCGCCTCACCGCCCGAGACCGCATTGTTCTCCCGGCCCCGGTCAGCCCAGGGAACCAGTTCCACGAATACCCGCGACGGAGGCGTCCGTTGCAACGACATAGTGAGGGTAGCTATGTTTCCATAGCAACCCAGAGCCCACGGCGGCCCTTCCGAGCCAAAGCACGCCACGGCTTTCTGGTGCGCGGCGCAAAGGATCCCGGGAGGGGCTGGGAGGCCCCAGTGTTTCTGGAGGGTGCGAGCTGTGAGTTGGTGTTTGCCGTAAGTCCTTTACGAGGTGTTGGCTGGGCCAACGTGATTATAGTAGTTGAGGTGTTTGCCTTACGGCTCTCAAAAATCTTAGCGAGTCGTCCCCGCCGCCGCCGCCGCCGCCGCCGCCGCCGCCGCCCCGCGGAGAGCTCCGCCTTTCCAAGCCCTCCGCCCGCGTCTGCCCGCTGGGCTAGCTTACCTCGGAGGAAGCTCCCGATAAGACCCGGCTCGCCGCAGTGGGATTCGTTACTTATTATTTATTATTTTATTTTATTTATTTTATTTTTATTTATTACACTGAGAGAGAGAAAGAGAGAGGCAGAGACAGGCAGAGGGAGAAGCAGGCTCCACGCAGGGAGCCCGACGTGGGACTCGATCCTGTGTCCCCAGGGTCACGCCCTGGGCGGAAGGCGGCGCCAAAGCGCTGCGCCCCCCGAGCTGCCCTGGGGTTTGTCTTAGACTTCTGTGCGGCCGGTCAGCGATTGTCCCCAGCCTTGTCTACTTTGACTTTACCTTTGCTCTCGGGCACGGCTCTTGGAGGCTGCACAGCGCCGTGGTACGCGAGACTTTTGTTGGAACGAACCGCTCTGCCAGTTTGGTCGTGGGAGTTGATAATTCCTGGTTTTCAGTTTCATGGTCTCTCAAGTCATATTGGTAATCCATTTCACATCTGCAGTATAGTTTTAAGTGCTTGTCATATGGGAAGCAAAGAAAAAAAAAAACAATGGATAGCATAGCCAGTAGGAGTAATAGATCTGACATAATTTTCAGCTTTGAATTTTCTCTAAAATGCCTAGAATGGTACTGGCTTTGCGTATGGACAGGAGAGAGACCCAACAGGTATCAAAGCACATTCAACACGGACACTCTTGGGCCAGTACAACTTACACCGTATCTGTATCTCTCTCTCTTTCTTTCTTTTCTTTCTTTCTTTCTTTCTTTCTTTCTTTCTTTCTTTCTTTCTTTCTTTTTCTTTCTCTCTCTTTCTTTCTTTCTTTCTTTCTTTCTTTCTTTCTTTCTTTCTTTCTTTCTTTCTTTCTTTCTTTTCTTTCCTTTCTTTTCTTTCTTTCTTTCCTTTCTGATTTTATTTATTCCTGAGAGACACAGGGAGAGAGAGAGGCAGAGACACAGGCAGAGGGAGAAGCAGGCTCCATGCAGGGAGCCTGATGTGGGACTCGATCCTGGGTCTCAGGATCACACCCTGGGCTGAAGGCGGCCTAAACCACTGAGCCGCCCGGGCTGCCCATCTGTACCTCTTTCTTGAGAGGGGGAGGGTGCGCGAACTTCAACTCACTGATCCCCATTAGAGGGGATTTTTTATCATTAAGTATGTAAAAGATATTTTTATATAGATAGTATCCCTTCTGTCCCATGAGAAAAAAAAAAAAAACCACTCCACATTTAAAAAATAACTAATTAAAAAAAAGATAACCGTTCTCTTGAAAGGAACCTGAAAAGGCCAACTAACAATCTTCATGAAGTTTTTTCTTTATCGTTTTTCTTATTCTTGATTAGTAAGATAAAAATATTCAACTAAATCAGATGTACCTCCTTCCCTCTTTCATTTGGTTCATATCCTGAGTAAAGTAATTTTGTATCTATTTTGATGTTTATTGTTAGCTAAAAACGATTATGTGATACTGTTTTAATAAAAACTTTTCCTCCATAATTTTTTTTATAATTTGAAACACCCAAAATAATGTTTCTTGAATTTGTTGGAAAATACTTTTCCCTAATGATAAATGTGGAGCAATATAATCTCCAAAATGAGTTATTGAAAGAATGAATGAATGAATGTCTGTAGTACAAAGCAACAGGGGTTTTAAGTACATATAAGTATTTAGGATATGATAAAAACAGGTTTAAAATAAGTGGGAAAATAAGTAAATGGTACAGGGGTAATGGGTTAGCTATATGAAAAAAGAATTGATCTGTATCTTATATAATGAAAGTAAAATTCAGATGAGATTAAAAAAAGAATTGGAAGAAGATAAAGGTGAACATAAATATAATGGAGAATGGAAGAAATTTCTTAAGTATCTACCTACCATCTATCATCTATCCATCTGTCATATCTATCTGCCTTCCTATTATTTATTATCTACTCATCCATCCTATCTACCTGTCAGTTACTATCTATTATCTATCCATCCATTCTCTCTACATTTCACCCAGTCTATCATCTATCCATCCATTCATCATATCTGTTTATATGTCATCTGTTGTCTTTATCTAATTCTGTGTGGACTAGAAAAATGGAAGAATTTTCTAAGTACAATTTCAAATGTAGCAACCATAAGGAAAAGTTTGAAAAATTTTACTGCACTGAAAATATTTTAGTATATAAAACAAAACAGAAAGGTGAGGGGGGCAAAATAAATTGGGAGAAATATTTGTAGCATTTATTTTGTATAAAAGGCTTTAATGTTTAGAGAGCTCTTACCAGAAAAAAATAGAAGAAAAATGGATAATGAACACAGGCAAACAATTAGTAGGCTGGACCCATTTTTTTTTTTATAAAGACTTTATTTATTTATGAGAGACACAAAGAGAGGCAGAGACACAGGCAGAGGTAGGAGAAGCAGGATCCATGCAAGGAGCCTGATGAGGTACTTGATCCCCAGAATCCAGGATCAGGCCCTGAACCAAAGGCAGATGCTCCACTGCTGAGCCACCCAGGTGTCCCCAGCTAGACCTGTTTTAACAACATACCATGGACTAACTGGCTTAACAGAAATTTATTTTCTCACAGTTCTGTAGGCTAAAAGTCCAAGATCAAGATGTCCACAGTTTTAGTGGCTCCTGAGGCCTTTTTCCTTGATTGCAGACACTCTTCTCACTGTGTCTTTCCATGGCCTTCCTTATGTTGGCAAGCATTCCTGGAGTTTCTTCCTCTTCTTGTTAAGAGCATCAATCCCTAGTGATTTGGGCTCACATACTTATAGCCTAATTTAACCTTAATTTCTTCTTTAAAGGCTATATGTCTAAATATAGTCACATTTAGGGGGATTAGTACTTCAACATATGAATGAGAAGTGGGAGACACATAATTCATATAACATAAACCAATAAAGCAGAGATACTACAGTCTGTGACATGAGGGAAGAATGAAAAATGTTTATTTTCACCAGTAGTTAAATGCAAATTTAAATATAGTAGAATTAACTTTTTTTTGAATCAGTTATTTTGGCAAGTAATAAAAGCAGTAGGAATGAAGATGAAATAGGAAAAAGTAATTTTGAAAGAAGAATGAAATTGTTCTTGGTGACAGAACTGTATAGTAAATAAGAGAGAAAGATAAGCCAAAGATGACTTTGAGGTTTTCAGCCAGGATAACTGGGAGAATAAATGATTATGATGGAATTTATCTGTTCAGCTTATAACAGGGTCAAGGCAATGCTTCTAGCAACCATTTTTAATAAGATGACTCTCTCCACAGTTTGTTTGGATCTGGAATAGGCACCTTATTCAACCTGGGCCAGTTAGAGGTATTTTTTGGCTTTGTTTGTTTCATTTGGTTTTTAGAATGGAAATTTATATTTACACCAAATTTAAAAAATTTAGTCTCTCAGATGGTGGGCCATGACATACATTCTTCTATACATATAAAACTTTGACAGAGATAGATTGACCATTTTCCACATACCATTTCTAGTAGAGAAGCAGAAAATGAGAGTGTATAGAGAAAGGGAGAGAAAATGAGAGAAAGAGATGAAATCATACATTCAGAGAGAGAGAGGAGATGGAGAAAGAATTCAGATACAATTCCAGTCTGTTTCTAGAAATTTCCTTAGGCCTGGTTTTATTCATGCCCTGGAGTTTTATAAAATAGCCCTATATCCTTGTCATAAAATCTCCCCAACTTTTTCTTTTTTTTTTTTTCCAGAGGTAGATTTACTGAGTTTTGTTATCTTAAAATTGAAAATATTGGCTGATTATAGTAGATAAGAGGAGATGAATTCAAAGTTGACTTGTATAGTTTTTAGCCTTAAATGATTTATTGAGCTCCACACAAAGTAGATCATTAAGTAAAAGCTCAAAACTTTACCCTTTGAGAAAATTTTGCTCTCCATTGTCATTCAAGGATACACTGAGTAGGGATCCCTGGGTGGCACAGCGGTTTGGCGCCTGCCTTTGGCCCAGGGCGCGATCCTGGAGACCCGGGATCGAATCCCACATCGGGCTCCCGGTGCATGGAGCCTGCTTCTCCCTCTGCCTGTGTCTCTGAGTAATGCTGTCATGCAGTCGTTTTCCATTTCTGACTGGAGCTTGCTTTATTGAGCCTGCGATCCATATATGTACATAAGGGCTGAGGTTTTTTTCCTCCTCCTTTGGCTGTTCTTACAGGAACCCCCACCATAACCATTGGTGTGAGCTGAGAGTGGTATTCTGGTGCAACCTTGGTATGTGGAATGGGAGTCTGGGATACCTGCTCATGCAACATGGTTATGCTTCCTGATTCTGCTCATACTTGGTGTCCCAGATGTACCGTTTTCATCTTTTGTTGGATTTCTGCTGGGCTGCCTGCCTATATGATTTGGAGTGTCTGACAGAACCCAGCTTATGAAAGCAGTTCTGAACATTTAGAAAACTAAAATGAGGGAATGGAGCAATATATTCCAAATGCTATGGGGAAAAAAATAAATTAACCTAGAAGTGTGTGTCAAACTGTTCCCCATGAATGAAGGAAAATAGAGATATTTTCAGATGTACAAAACTTAAAGGAGTTTACTATCCATAGATTCTAAACTGTTATCATAGAATATGCTTCTGTGATGTTACTAAGTCCAAAAGGAAGGCATGGCATGGAAGAAACAACAATAATCACAGAAATTTATAACATATGTAAAAAAATATAATTATTGAAAATGACTTCTTGTTTGTGTGTGGGTGGTTAGGCAAAAATTGAAACGTTCATGGCATCTAGTTAAAAGATCTTGGCTTGTTCAAAAAGAGACTGACGGATACTGAATTACATTGTACTTTGTTGTAATATTTTGTAGTTAATTACCTATGGAAAATATATAAATAAATGAAAAGATCAAAGGAGGCAGAAAAGAAGGCTCAAAGACATAGGAAGATTAAAATAGCACACTGTTATGAACCACAGGATG